CTCTCTCTCTCTCTCTCTCTCTCTCTCTCTCTCTCTCTCTCTCTCTCTCACACACACACACACACACACACACACACACACTTTCCTTAGTTTGGAGCCGAATGCTCACTGTACTGTAAAGTACCCATTTGCAGGATTGTCATCTTAGATTCAGTTGTCCTGGAAAGTGCACTTTGCTTTGTTATTTTCCTATAGGCCAGAAGCAGTCATTCTGATGTCATTCAAAACACCTGGATAGGAGATCGCTCTCATTGCAGGAGATGCTGAGCTCTCTAAGGCCACAAATAACCTGACCTCGTAAGTTTAAATAATTCCACTGGACACTCTGCACATGGTTCTATTCTACATTAACAGAATCAGTTTATTGGAAAATGAAGGACTGCAAAAAGATATATATTGCCCTTACATGTCTTATGTTTTGTTTATCAATGTACCAGTATCTAACACCCTTAGTTTTATCACAGGATAATTGACATAATGATTTCTCAAATAGCTAGGTTTCAGTTGCCAGTTACTCATTTTATTCTTTAGAACAGGGTCTGTCAGGAAGAACGCCCTAACTTACCTAGTCTCAGCAGTTAAGATGGTAAACAGTGGCCTCCTCCATGGCTGCTTCAAGCAAGCACTCTCCGCAGGAGAGATGCAGGACATCTCTGCAGCTTGTTTCCCAAAGCCCTGTTGCACACAGCATGTGCTGAGATGCTCAAGTGCCCACTCGGTGGTGGAAATCCGAGCCTGACTTTTTCATTTAAAAGAATATGATGCAGAAATTATAATTCCCAAAACAACTCTCAGTTCCACAAATACCCTTTTCTGAATGCTTTAACCTTGGAAGTTTAGGGCAACAAAATCGTCTTTTTTTTTTTTTTGAAAAACATTTAAAAGCATCCAAAAAGTTGGTACAGATATCATTTTTCTATTGTACCTCCTTTGCCTAGCTTCTGTTCTTATTTTCTACCCTGCCCCACAATGGGATTCTGATAAATAGGTAGGCCTCATGTCTAAAGCCGATGTCTAAAGCCGATCTAACTAGCCATCTATTCAAGGTTCATATTTGTTGGTTTTTGCACTACAAGATTAGATGGCATTGAAAAGAAAAACGGATTGAAAATACCTGTGCTGTATTTGAGATGATAATTAGCAGGCCTGCACAAATCCCCCCCCTTCTCTAGGTGTGGCCACTCTCCCTCCTCTTTCCACTAAGGCTTAATTAGAAAAGTAGCCCAGGCGTATAAGTTTACCATTTACACAGAACGCGCTCTGCAGAGAGACACAGCTAAAATACCTGTTTCCAACAGAACTCTCTCACCAGCAAGGTATGTTTCGTAAATAACCCCCTCCAAGTCATTAGTCTATCATTGGGAAGGAAGGAGAGACACGGTAAAGATAAAATTAACCTTCTATAGATAGGATAAATCCTTGTGTTTAGAGGAAAGAACACTTTTGTGTGGTTTCATTTTTCATTTTAAATTTTCCATGGGAAGGATAAGCACTGTATAGTTTCAAGCTGCGCTGTGCCGTGATTTTAACTTGAGTAACAGAAGATATGTCTGTCATCTGAACCAAAAGTCCTTTATATGTGGTCGCTGAGAGTGGTAATTACAAGCAATGGATGACAGGTCCTCAAAAGAAACTTTTCTTGTTTAAAGAGGAATGAAAAAGGTCCTATATTTCACCCTGATTTTGATTCTTCTCCCCCAAAGTCTAACGTGCCACATACAGAGACAAAACACAGGAATTGTGAACCTAATTAATGAAAGATTTTTTGTTACATTTTTGGTTTTGGTTTTGGTTTTTTCCTATACACAGGTATTTATATTAGAATCAGAAATCAAGCTGATTCCAAATATTCAGAGCTGAAGGACATGATTTTAGAACATGCAACTCTAGAAGTTCCTAACATAGTAGCCTTAAAATTAGCGTTTCGCTGGAGGCCATGCATTCATTGCTGCTCTCTTCAGCAGGGAGCTCCCCTGGATACAGTTCTGTGACCTGGGGTCACTTTCAGGAACTTCCAGGGGCTGGAAGGACTAAAGGACTTTCGCCTACCCAATCCCTTTCTTCACTGTCTAGGCTCCAGGGCTGTAGGAGAGAAAACTTCTCAAAGACCCAGGTTGTAGTAGTTTATTAGAGTAGCCCTTGAAAATTAAAAACATTTTGAAATTATTAATTGTAATTTAAATAAAATGTAAAAGCTCACTGGCAGCAGAGATATACCATAATAAAGAAGGTAGTTTTCCCAGGGTAAGGCTCCAAGACTCATCCATCTCACGAGGTATGTACAATTTCTGAAATTTGGGAAAGTGGATTGTATAACTTATGATAGGAGGAGCTTATCATGTTCATATGAGTGCTCCCCTAAAAATTAAAAAAAAAGATACTGGGCATTGTGTTGTAAATGGTGTACTATCATAAAAACAAATTATGTTTTTCTTGTTCCTAAAAATGATTTTCCAAGACAGTCATTCTTCCATTGTATGATGAATCAATAAAATTTCCCAAGTACTATCTCTGTGTTTATAAACAATGTTCTTATAGAAACTCAAGGTCTTAAACCTTGAAAAACTTATTTTTCTCAATAAGACTTTTCATGTGTGCCTATTGGCAGAAATTTACTTAAATGGGTTATACACCTCTACTTTCCAATTCTAGAAGACATTCTGATTATTAGGGACCTGTAGTGGAGTGGGAAGGACATGGCATTCTGGTAACAGTTTGTGCATATATATACATATATATATATATGTATATATACAAATATATACATATTTTTAATGTGTAAAAAACATATTTTCTTTATCTATGGGAATTTCTATATTCTGTTTTGTGGCACTAACCAAATCTTCGCATTTGATGACGATCACTCGTGAAATTCATCACTCTTTATTGAACAGGCATTTTCACATCTGTGTGTTAAAAGTAGTATCATGCGTGTAAGGTCCAGGGGAATATCTGATTTTAGTTTTTCACCTGAGTCATCTGTTGGTTGCAAGAGCTTAGACTCAAAAGGAGTCTGATCCAGGGAGGTTTTGAATATAGGAAACCGGACTGCAGTGTAGAGATGACTGACAGGCAAAAGCAAGTAACTGACAGGAGAAGAACATGGAAGAATCTTATGGAGCACTGACGCAGTACCTAATCCTGTTTATTTCTCTCCATGCTAACTACTGGAAAATTTAGTGGCAAATGTGAGCTCCCAACATGGCGTTCCTCATTGCTGATGGTTCAGTCTGCACTGTCGTGTGAAACTTTGATGTAGTTGATACTGAAGCATTGCTCCTAGGGGAGCGGAGTTAGGTTCGACAAAACTGTTTTCAATCACGAGTAATGCATAGCCTCACTTTGTATGTTCTTTTTGTTATACACGTTGTTTAGTCAATATGTTTTGTTGATCGGCTCTCATCAAAGTGGTTAGTAACACTAAAACTCATGCTTGAACAATGCTTAATGTGCTTTTGCTCTGAGATACCACAGTCTCCTTGCACTTAGGAATATCTAGGCAGCACTTATTCACTATGACTAGTAGCCATTTCTAATTTTTTAATTGTCAGTTTCATATATTTACGGCATGAACTTGATTTCCTTTCACCGCTGCTGCCTGCCCCTCTCTCTCTCTCTCTCTCTCTCTCTCTCTCTCTCTCTGTGTGTGTGTGTGTGTGTGTGTATGTGTGTGTGTGTGTGTCTGTCTGTCTGTCTGTCTGTCTCTGTCTCTGTCTCTGTCTCTCTCTCATCCCCTTTCTCTCCCACTGGAACCCTTCTTCACGAGTCACTCACCCCATCATCCATTCCTTTTATATAAGGTCACTCAATTTAGATTTCCTTTCCCTTGACCACGGGTAGAAGGTTATTCAGTGGAGCAAGGGCCACTCATCAATGACGACACCTCTGAAGGAAATGACACACATTTCCCTTAACACTTATTAATTGTCAACTGTCAATTTCAGAGATGTGGAACCTCTCATGACCCATCCATGATGAAATGTTGGCAGGTCTACTCTTATACAGATAACCACAACCGCAATGATTCTATGAGGGCAACAGCCCTGTCATGTCAAGGGAACATCTTTTGTTGTACATCTCCCTCCCTCTGTCTCTTTTTCCTACCCCCTCTCCTATACTCCCTGAACCTTAGAGAGAGAGATACAGCTGTCCCTTTTAGGGCCAAGCACTGTACCATTGCTTATCCACACATTTTAAGAAGAAAATTGCTAACAAAAGGTATGTTTTAATTAGGTAAATAAAAGTAATACTAAATAGTGACTCTTCTTTACATCATCACACCTGAAATAGGATAATAAAGTTCTCTGTTTAACTTAGCTGGCAATGTGTGTCAGGAGACAGTTTTTTATTGTTCTTTACACATCTATAGATAAATGCCACCACATTGCCAGGATTGATTTGGCAGTTATAAATAATCTTAATTAAAAGACATCGCATATGGAATCCAGGAATAAGATTCTATCTGTAGTACCATAGTCTATAGACCAAACATTCTCTTGGTTCTATTCCTATTGTGTTTTTGTTTTCCATTTCCCTGAATTTCAATTTCAACTTAATTCTTTTATACACACACACACACACACACACACACACACACATATATATATATATATATACATATACATATACATATATTTACTTGTGTTCAAAAAATTGCTTCACAGCATTTAGGGAATGATAGAGCTAGCGGGTGGTTTCATTTTGTCCTTCAATTGAGAGACAAGAAAGAGTTCAGGACAAATCAAAGGTAATGCTTGTTGACAAGCATTACAATTCCTCCAGAAAATGAGGGGCCTCCAAGCTAAGGAGACCATTGTCGCTAAAGGAGTAGGGATTTTTATTTGGTTTTACTGTGTCAAACCCAGTTATTTCTCTTCCCTCCCTGTAATCATTGGTCCATAAGTATCTATATTTCTCTCCTATAACACAGAACTTATATGGTAGGTGATGGTAAAGAAACTGACAAGCCAGGAATGCCCTCCCTTCTTGCCGCCAACAAGCTATTTGAGACTAACAAAAACAAAACACTCTTGAATATAGAAGTCCAGCTTTTACTAGTTCCCTGCTGGGGACAATCAGAATATAGTGGATGTGTAGTCCCCTCTGTAAATGATTAGGTCTAGTGATCTCCATTTGCACATACTCACTGGTGTACCTACCCTGCAGCCCCTCGCCCATCTTCCACTTCCTTCCTCTTCAAAGGCAGCATCGGCTTTACACTAGAAGAAAATGGGATCGCTAGCATATTCCCAGTAAGATCAAAAGTTAATAAGCAGAAATTAAATGTCTATCTTCAAGTTTCTAGTTAGGTGCGGAAGCGCAACCCTTTGGAGACGATGTTGGTGCTAAACTGCTCCACCAAATTACTGACCCTGGAGAACATGTTGAAGAGTCACTTTCCTGAATCCCTCAAGGTATTTATTGTGAGCCTAATCGTACTGAGTTTCTTTCCTGTGTTAATCTAGGAGTTAATGTCAGATATGTCTCCGATGAACATGTTAGTTTCACAATCTGCTCCTGTCACCCTTCTGTCATCCCAGGGGACTCTTTAGAGAAATTTGGGCAATGGTAGACTGTGTTATTTCTGAACATGATTTAAATGATAGAATTTGGTGGTGCTGAAGGTAAGACTATGCTTGAGGACTGAAGTTTAGTTATAGGTTTGTTTCCTCTGGGTCACTCAAGCCTCCAATCTAAAATCCCAGAGGGCCCACTGATCACTCTGTGACAGTGTTGAAGATTTCATAAATCAATATTATAATAAATGTAAAAATGAGGCTGCTGTCAGCAGTGAAGCTGACTTGGAGTTAGAAATGTTTCCTGTTTGATGATGATGATGATGATGATGATGATGATGATGATGATGATGATGAAAATACTGTGATATTAGCTCGAAAATCCTTGCTATGCTCCAACTTTCACTAATTCTGTATGTGCATGATGTTTTTAGGATGGATATTTTTCTTAATGAAGGAAACAGATGGGAAAGACATCTTTTCCCGAACAGCCTCTTTTCTTACCTTCATATTAATTGTTGCTCAGTCACCAAGCATTCTCTCTCAGAATTCTAAGATATCAGGATTTAACAGACTTTTTACTAGTTTCCATGACCATATTTGAAATGGTAAATCCACATTGTGTATATGTGTGTGAATATTTCTCTAATTCCTCTCTCAACTGGAATAGCTAAAGGTCTCTGGTTCTCTGGCTCAGGTTTATGGAGCAGTGATGAACATAAATCGTGGTAATCCCTTTCAAAAGGAAGTAGTAGTGGACTCATGGCCTGACTTCAAAGCTGTCATCACCCGGCGACAGAGAGAGGTACAGTGCTGAAAAGCAACTAAGACACATTAAAAGTAAAAATTGGCTCCAACTGGAAAAAATTGGTTAGATAGAGGGAGTGGTATGACCATTGTAATTCCACACATTACCTTAACATGTTATGCATGACATCCGTGGTTTGTAGGTGGCTACTTTGGAGTCCCAGGCAGATGGAAGACTGCTAGCCAGCAAGTGTTCCCTTAGCATCTCACAGTCTCTAGGAGATGAAGCACCCAATATGTACACACTAGCTCCTCCTCTAGTAGTGGATTTCTTATGACTGATGAATTTGGGAATTTTAAAAAACATTGGGAAAACTTAAAGAAGTCAGCACAATGAGATCAATGATCTCATTCTCTCTCTGAGGCTAAAGAGAACCTCAAGTGATCAGAGATGAGCTGCCCTCTGCATGAGGAAGGTGGTGAGGGCTGTGGTTCTTACATGGTGCTCACTGACTTTTACCTTTCTTGTGTGTGTGTGTGTGTGTGTGTGTGTGTGTGTGTGTGTGTGTGTGTGTGTCTAGTGAATAAAGCCAGATATCCTGATTAGCTTCTGGAGTCATCTGAGGCAACTCAGCAGAGGCACTGCTCAAGCTACTACAGTTTTAATTTTTATTAATTAAATCCTAAAGTCGGAACTTTCTTAGTTCTGGAAGAAAGACTCAAAATCTCTAATTTTCTCATTACAGTATATTAGCCTCATTCTTGTTTCTCTGTTTCTATGTAACTGATTTGAACAATTGAAAATTAGCTAGATAATAATAATAGCTAGTCTCTCCAGGGCATGGATTACCCAGAAGATACGCTGGGGTATTACATTCATGACTATGTCTTCTGCCCAAGGCTGAGACAGATAATTTTGACCATTACACTAATGCATACGCTGTGTTCTACAAAGATGTCAGTGCTTACCAACAGCTATTGGAAGAGCATGACGTTATCAACTGGGACCAAGTGTTTCAGATACAAGGTAAGGTCAAGTTCAAAGCACGCACTATATGCTCGCATTTTCCTGCATGAAAAGATATCATGGAGACTACAGAGATAGCTCAGTGGTTCAGGGTACTTGCTGTTCTTCCAGAGGTCCAGAGCTCAGTTTCCAGCACCATGTTAGTGTTAGGCAGCTCACAACCACCTGTGACTTCAGCTCCAAGAGATTTGAAACCATCTTCTGGCCTTTGCAGTCAGTGTGCCCCTGTGTGCGTACACACACACACACACACACACACACACACACACACACACACTTTTTATAGATCTCTTAAAAGATATTACACACATAGATATAGACACTTAGAGATAAGTCCATAAATACTGACCATATCTACTTGAGTTTTATACGGTTACTATTCCTATACTAGAGTGTGTATGTTACCCTTGGCTTGTATCACTTATTTTTTCTCTTCTAGGCAATATTTTGAGTGTTGGGTATGAGGGAACCCACTTGCAATCCTAGTGTTTGTGAGGTAGAGGCAGAAGGATACAAATTTTAGGTCTTTCTAAGCCACACAGACTACATATATAGTCCATGGTTTAAAAAAAAACAATAAAATTCAAACCTTTTGATAACTTAGCTATAACTCAGCTTTATAATAAGGGACACTAGTTACTGCAGCTGTAATTTTAGTAACATTCACCTGTAAACTTGCTAGTCTTTACTGAGGCTCAGCTCAGAGAGGGAGGTGTCAAGGTTCAGCCATCATACTGCATTCCATATGCCTTCTCACCCAGTTGTAGTCTTGAGGCCATACTAAGAAGTGACTCACAAGTGGGGAGGAAAGCAGAGCCATATAACTTGCTTCAGGAATGAGCCTAGAAGAGAGACAACCACATTACAGAGGATTCTGTCCATCCATAGTCAGACTGCAAAGGCTAGAAAACAGGGCACTTGGGAAAAGTGCAATGCTGTAGCTCTTAAGAACAGAGACCAAAACCTATTTTTGTATGCTGGGGGTAGGGGTGGGGACAGTTAATATCAAACAAAGGGGTGCAAATCATATAGCATGCTGGGAGAAATGAGTAGTAGGATCTGGATGAATCAACTGAGCTCAATCTTCCAACTCCAGGCTGCACTTGGAAGTCCATAAGGAACGTTGTGGAAGTGGACAAGAAGCTTTAAAGTTGTTTAGTGTTCTAGTCTCATTCCTGTGGATGATAAAATATCCTGACCAAAAATAGCTTAGGGGCAAAAGGAGTTTATTTCAGCTTATAGCTCCAGGTCCTCATCGATCCCTGGTGGTCAGTCAAGGGTACTAACCTCCAACACTGCATCCAAGAACAGAGAAGTCACGAGCAGAGAAACAAGGATGTGCCCATACACGCTCACTCACTTAGCTGCTTGCTTGCACTCAGTTTTATTTCTCTACACTTAAAAAGTTCAGGCCCAATCCCTGCCGAAGCTGCCACCCACAGCGGGCTGGTTCTCCCCACATCAGTTAACTGATTAAGACAATACTGCATAGACTTGCCCACAGCTAACCCCAAGGTAGTCAGTCCTTAATGAGACTTTTTCCCCATGTGATTCTAGGTTGTCAAGTTGATTTACCATACTAAATAAGCCTAAACTCCTATAAACATCTGGCCTTTAACTTTTAAAGCTAAAAATAAAAAAGGGACAATTCTCTTCAAAAGAAATTTAATTTGAGGTATTAAATAAATTAGCAAATAAAACTTCCAGTAAGAAATTCCAAATTCCCTTGAGATATTTCCAGCAGAAGTAGAAAAGCATGAATGGTGATGACAACATAATTTGATTTGTAGATCAAGAAGAGAATTCTGTAGTAATACATATATAGCTAACTATATCATGGTTAAAACATGACAGGGTATCAGAGAGTGGTACTGATGACATTTGCCATAAAAATGCTGAAATAAATGACTGTGGTTCTGTGTCTGTCATCATCCAGGGCTGCAAAGTGAATTATATGCTGTTTCCAAAGCCGCTGCCAATGCAAAGCTGTTGGACTTGGATATAAAGCTGTCTTCCTTCAAGGCTGTCCATTTTTCTCCTGTTTCGTCTGTGCCAGACCACAATTTCCTGTATGTAAAACAGGTTCTGCATTTGGAGCTGGATGTACTGTTATGCAAGTCCAAACAACAATGCTAGAATATTTATGATTGTAGAGGAATAGTTAGGCTTTTAGAATTGGGACGTTGGGCTAAGGGTGTGTGTGTGTGTGTGTGTGTGTGTGTCTCAAAAATATAGCAGAGAATAATTGATGAAGACACCTCATGCTGACATGCACACATACACACACACACACACACACAATTTTTAAGTTAAATTAAAAGAATTAAGGTGTAGTATCTTTTTTAAGAGATTTTTTTTTAAAAAAAATGAAACAAAGTTGATTAAAAAGTGCCCACCTCCATGCCTGTTGGTTCTCTGCTCCCATGGTAAATGTTGGAGGAGCTGGTAAGCACAGACTAACTCTAAAATTGCAGGAAATCAAAAGAAATTACCAGGGCTTTCTTTTATGTTGCCACAATATGGAAACTTGGAGCACACACGAACTTTGAAAGGAGAAAACCCTCCCACAGTATATTGGTAATCTTTCACGTATACCCTGTGACCTCCCCCAGCACAGGGACAATCTTCCATATCCATCCTGAGAACTATACCCTACCAATGCTGCACACCTATTCAATTAATTAAAACAGAATGTGGTACACTTTATCCTTAATCCTAGCTACTTTAAGATGTAAAAGGCAAGGAATATTTGTGTGTGTGTGTGGTGGGGGCGGTTTTTGATACAGGGTTTCTCTGTGACACCCTGGCTGTCCTGGAACTCTTTAGAGACCAGGCTGTCCTCAAATTTTGAGATCTACCTGCCTCTGCTTTCCAAGTACTGTGATTAAAAGTGTGTGCCGCCCCCACTCCTGGGTAAGACGAAGATTTCTTAAAAGAAAAACTAATCTCTGTTTGTCTTCCCCAGCCGTGGCTAGCCACTATTTCATTCTCTGCTGTATGGAGATTAGGATTTTAGATTCTTCATGTGAGTGAGATTGTGTGCTCTCTGACTTTCTGCACTTGGCTTGCTTTCTTTAATATAACAACAGTCCCATCCATGATTCTACAGATGATAAGACTGAGTCTTCTTTTTAAGGATGAATACGATTTCATTGTATATATGTCACATTATTTTGAAATACCCAACATGAGTCCGTGTCTTGCTTATTGAGAAGCATGCTGTGGTCAACAGGGACTGATTTTACTACTTTGGGCTATATACTCCAGAATAGAATTCCTTGATCATATTACAGTTCCGATTTTAATTTTTGGGAGCATCACCACCCTGTTCCTAAGTAGCTATACTAATTTACCTTTCTCCTGGTGTATAAAGTTTCCTTTTCCAATCTTCACTACTTTTTGTTGTCCTTGACTTTTGGACAAGAACCTTTCTAACTGCAGTGAGGTGATATTTCTTTGTGGGTTTGATTTGTAGTTTTTTTCATATACCTCTTCGTCATTTGTATACCGTATTTTTTTTAATGTCCCTGTAGGTCTAAACTTCTAAATTGTGTTCTTTGTTTTTATCCTCATTAGGATTCTTTGATTCTTTCCTTCCTTGTATTCTAATATTAGACACCTACCTCAAGGATAATTTCCAAGTGCTTTTACCCATTCTTCAGGGGTTTTCCTCATTGTTTTGTTTCTTTAGTTGTGCATAGCCTTTCACCATAGTGTATTATAGTGAATATAGCTGCCTTCTGGAAGCTCTTAGCTTTATGCAGTCCTATTTTGGCAATTTCCCCCATATCTTATTCAAAATACCCTTCTCCATCCCAATGTCATGGGGTTTATTCTGGTGATCTTTCCTAGCAGTAACGTTTTGCCTTTAACCCCAAAGCCATACTCAAATTGTGGACTGTACTTTAAATACTTCATCCTTCATGTGCAAATGTGTAACACACTATGCCTGAGGTGTGCTTGCCTTGGCAATGTTCCTCCTTGTACTAATATTTGTGCTTGAGGTTCTCTGTCCTTTTTTTAAAGTATTACTTTCAAAGTTGAACTGAAAAATCATAAGCCAGTTTCCCTCCTTCTTCTCCTCAATAGAAGATTGGCCAGTGCTGCAGCTGGCAACCACTAAGAAAAGTAAAATGCATAATTAGATACGTTTATAACACCACTTCAGGGCTACAATATAAGTCTTTACTAATCAATGGATTAAGTAGTATTGACAAGTTCACAGTGATAGCAAATTCCAAGGCACACTCAGCCTTAGAGGCAATAATTTGCTTTTGGTCTTATAACTTCAGTCATTTATGTTTATGAATTCTCTCTGTGTGTGCCAGCATGACAGAAGAGGGTATCAGAACCCATTATAGATGGTTGTGAGCCACCATGTGGGTGCTGGGAATCGAACTCAGGACCTCTGGAAGAGCAGCCAGTGCTCTTAACTGCTGAGCCATCTCTCCAGTCCAGACCTTTGTTTCAGTTCTTAAGATGAACCAGGAACTTTATCTTGACATCAGGACTTTTACATATAAAATTACTAGACACTTCTATAAAACAATTAAAATAAATAAAAGCTAGTGTCCTGTAAAATTTGGCCTTGGCCAGTGAAAAAATGAGAACATTCGATCTAGAGAGAAGCAGCAGAAGGGAAAGTCTGGCAAACCTAAATCTTCCAGAGAGTGTACATATTCACTGTTACTTGTGTAGCCATGACTATGCAAAGGCAGAAGGATACTGAATGCTAAAATACCATTAGGTTCAAAATATTAGGACTTGAAAAAATCTGGATTGCTTAAGACTTCACAAAATCTTTTAAGGGCAACTCTGCATGAAAATAGTAGTAGTAGTAGTAGTAGTAGTAGTAGTAGTAGTAATAGTGAGAAGAAGAAGAAGAAGAAGAAGAAGAAGAAGAAGAAGAAGAAGAAGAAGAAGAAGAAGAAGAAGAAGAAGAAGAAGAAGAAGAAGAAGAA